TATTAAGAATTGAAATACTGATAATTCAAACCCTTCCCAATGACAATAAAAACATAAATTTGTGGCTATCTGGACCCGATAGTTAAGTGTATAATACATTGAGACTTTGAATAAAAGATAGTGAGTTGAAGTCCTGGAGTGAGTATAAACACTGGGATACAGGTACATTTAGCTGAAAACTGACAAACAGAACGGAACGTGAGTCCTGGATTTCACTGCTAACCACAACCCTTTTATTCCACATGATTATCAGAGTGTTGCACTGCTTTTCATAAGTTTATTACTTTCATTTACAGATATTCTGAACAATTTTAAAGGCTAATATAGTTGCATAATTTTATTTATCAGATTTTTCTACCTTCAAGATGTTTCAGTCAGACGTTGAATGAATTATTGAAATACTTAAGATGGTATTTATTTTTTTAAGTTTATGCTTATTTAACTACATTAAGCATAAGGAGTTTATCGACAGACAAGAAATCAAACTGTGAAACTAATCACTACAATTAACATCAGATTAACTTTTATAAAGATCACCCGATCCTTGAAATGATACACCGAATTCCAAATAAGGTTTAACCACAAAGTAACATTTTAAAAAAGGATTATCAAACTACCTTCAGAAATTTACATAATAGATATACAAGAGTACAATTAGGTATGTCATGAAACTAAATAATACAACCAAAGTGAAATGCAACAGTGTTTTTCATATGTTGGATACAATTATACATTAAAACAAATTACTCATCTATTCAAATAGTGGTGATGAACTTAATTTCGATTCATCTAATTTACATGTAAATTCGTGCTTTTAATCTTTGAATAGAATAGATTATAATGATCTCATTATTATAAGTCTGACAGACTGAAAATTAAATTGAATTTCAGTCATTTTGGCAACCAAAATGGCCTTGATCAAATAACTATAGTTACACGCATTGATATCCTTTTATGTGTAGGTTACTATACAACCAGATTACAAAATAAAACCACATAGGTACGTACATGTTTAAACTGGTCTGTTTATTAAATTCAAAGTACACAAGCAAACTATTAAAAAAAAAAAAACAGGAAAAAACTAAAGATTTAGAAATTAATGGTAAAAAGTAAAAGTAAACACAACGACTAAAAAGATGGGTGTAATTGTGTTCATTAATGAATAACCTTAATCAACAATACAAAAAAATAACCATGAGTAGTTAAAGTCTCTTACTATAAACTCTAAATGTAAGAATGAGATTAATCATTGTTTGTTAGTTTGTGTTTTCTTTGACAATGAACTACTCATTATGTATGTAAATTCAATTTATAAACATAAGGATTCTGAGAATATAAATTAAATGCCAAATTTATTCAATTCATAGTATGTTTATCCATACATTTGTTGATCTGAAGGACGATAAAATTAATGACAGGAACAACAAACACTCACTGGAATAAACATTTAAGTCCTTTTATTTATTTATTTCTATATTTTAATTAATGTAATTCTCTCAACAATCATAGCAACAACAAAAACATCTAGATGACAGCATGAAAATTCGAATTGGTTCATTTGAAAATGTGTAAAACATTAAAGAAATTATTGGTATACAAAAAAAAATCGTTCACATCGATTTTGTTCGTTAGAGGTAAATGATTATAGAGCTAACATAAATATCAAAAATATCCGACTGACTAGTTTATTTCATTCTCAGACTGGTTATGACACTGTTAACTAATAGTGAGTAGGCTTGTCACCAGCTAAACTCCAACTCGGTCAAATTCAACTTGTAATTAAATCATATTAGTCAGAATAACTCAATTTATGATGCAAAAGTAAGAAAATTTGTAATATTCAATACTTACTAGCCATACGGTGACTGTGTGAGATTGTAACAAATTATAATGGCTTCAGTATTCTGAATGGTACTAATATCATTTACGCAATACCAATACACAGACTACAGTTAGTTATTATCCTTATAGACAACAACAAACCAGATCCTAGGTCAACAGAACAAACTACTCTTTAATTGTTAAAAAAATTAAATAAATCAATACTGATGATTTCGTCAGGAGACGCTAAGAAAGTTCTACTATTAAACAATTCAACTCAAAGAATAAATAAGCCAACTACAAAATCCTGATCCTGAACTATAAATGTTACACATCATATGAGAATTCAATTTGATATCGATCCCAAAATTCAAAACAGAAAATTTGGTTATCTGTCGCTTTCAACTTTTAGCATAAGAACCTTAAAGTATCAATGATTGTCTCTGATGTCTTGTTGCACGTTTTTAGTTTGTTCAACAATCCATCTCAGAAAAAACTCCTCTAAATACTTTAACCATAGTGGTAACATGACATTGAATCTTATCTTATATTCTAATGATAACACTTTGAATTTGAATTTCTATCGTACTCAACCCAAAAATTTATTAAAGAAATGTTCATCTATCTCATAAATCAACTTTGACGAATGTTATGATTGAAATACAACAGAAGAAACCTCTTGAAAAATCTATACACAAACTTGATACTACGTAAATAATGGGTTGGGTAAATAGAAGTACCTTATGATCAAAAATCGATCCGACGATGAAAACATTGAGCAGGCAATTCATAATGATTTATTGATTCAATAATCCACCCATAAAATGCTTCGAATTTTATTTCAACCGGTTAAAAACTAGATTTCCAGTAGATTTACTGTGAATTCCAAAATAAGTATATAGGATTCTGTCAAATAAAAATCGAGTTACCAAATGTATATTTTGTATTTGAATAACAATCCAAATTGAAAATTACCTGAATTATATCACAAACAATAAATCATTTCAAAAACCTATCAAAATTCTTCAGGCTGCCTTCAAAAGTGTATTAAATTACATTAAACATGAGTGAAATCCACTGACTAGTGTGAAATATAATCTACAACAGGCTAAACATGGCCTCGAAAGGGTGACAACAATATAAACTTACGACAGTTAACCAGATCGATACTTCTCAGGGTACAGAACAGATGGAAGGTGGTTACCAGTGACCTGAATTCCGCTGGGAGCCACATTCAATCTATTCTATGTCGACTTGTGTCATGATGACTAAATCGAGGAAATCCGTACAGCATGCATATATGCCAAATAAGGCTGAACAAATCCGAGTCAAAAACCATCAACAACAGGATAATCCGATTCATTTTGAATCGAACGAGAAAGCACAGTTGTTAAATATCCTCTAAACAATATCCTTACAGTTGTTAGACTAATCGGACTGTTAGTTTAGCATCTGAAGAAAAAAAATCGAAAAGACATAGTGAATGACAAGTTGAACGATATCTAATGAAAACAAAACTGTTGTTCAGTTCAAAATGTTTCTAATTACAATGGTACGAATAAGAGATACGTTTGAGAAAACAGGACTGATCTGTACATTGGTGAATGAATTACCAATCCAGTTTAAAATCTATGCATATGATCATTCATCTACCTTGATTTGCAATAAGTTAGCATTGAGACATACTCTGTCTACTCTTTAAACTACTCATTCATGAAGTGTCAAGCATTGGACAGCATAGAATAACAGAGAAGCTTACTCTCGCCGAAATTAATTAAATTCAACTCACTGACGTTTATCCACGCGAATGTTGTCATTTTTAGTTTAATAAAATCATTGTCAAACACTCGTCATAAACAATATCTTGACCAGAAAATGTTTCGATAGAATTTCATCATTTAGTAACTAAATAAATAGATAGTAAGCATTCTCTCTGTGCTCATGGAACAACCATCTATTCTGACAGTACCAAACTAGACAAATAGACTAATTTCATGAAATATATCACATTCAAAGGAAAAACTAAAATCCTATACTGTTTTGGTCGACAAAAGTAAACAGTAAAATCTTCGTTTTCGAGTGAGAATTTTGTGGAGATTTGGAATATCAGAAGTATTGTTAAGTTGTCTACATACGTCTTCTGTTATTTCTTGACGCTTACGGAATTCACTGAAATCACATCCGATCATTTACTGACTTAGTCAAATTAGAATACTATTATTATTAATACTATTGAACTCAACACTTCATATCAAAAATATTGGAAAATGGAATTTCTAGCCAAATCATCGACCAGTTGTTTGGAGATAGAATACCTCCCGACGACGTCAGTAGGCCACCAGAATAGAAAACATGTCTGTTGGCTTGTATTAAATCAGAGATTAATATTTCTTCAGTTGATCATCGATATTTACCATTTTGAAGTGAATTCCATGCTCCATCATTCACAGCGTTACATTCGACTGGATTGAAATCTAACTGTGACTTCGCACTCAACACACGTTTCGTTCTACAACACAATACTTTTCTTGTTACTGGTCAAATATCGGTTATTGGTGTGATACGAATCTCATATTTCACAGATAAACAAGTTTAAATAAACTTCAATTAACTTAGCTTTACAGAGCTCTCTCTTGTACAATGGATTTAATATTTTACCGAAAATTTTAGATAGAAAGATAATTTACTGAAATTTACAGGAATAAATCCATTAACATTTTGATCAGACAGATTAGAAGTGATCTGGAATGCATTGTACCGAAAACAAATAGTCTAGTTGCAATAAAAATCATATTTTTAACTACTTAAATGGTACAAGTAGCTCAACTATTCTGAGTTAATTTCTCATGTGAATATGGATTCGTCACGAAGCTTGATCTAGATCATCAGTCATCTTGATAAGACGAATACAACTGATTTGTTCATGCATATCAGTAATTCCATAAAGATATACAGTACTACACTCAAGATTTGAAAAAATCGGATACGACCCACATAACCACATTCTCGTACGATCCAAATACGTATCTAGCACAAACTAACTGACCAATGAGAAAATTCAAGATGTCTCACTACTGCACTCATATTATGTAGACCAATGGGATTGGGAGATCATTATTCAAAGAGATGAACGAAATGACGGAAAATTGGAGGAAGTAGTTGAGAAGATATATGACTCTATGAAAGTAACTGAGAACATTTTGATATCGGCATACCCAGTGTTAAATCGCAAGTTACCGGAAAATATTAAATTCATTACAACGCAAGAATTAGAAGATATCTACCCCGACAAAAAACCGGCAGAACGTGAATATCTTGCAGTTAAACAGTATGGTGCTGTTTTTCTCAAACAGATCGGAAAGCTTCTGAAATCCAATACGATACACGACAATCGAGCCCCAGACTATGATGACTGGGAATTGAATGGAGATATACTAGTTTATAGTGAACACGACGATAGATGTATAGAATTGTCATCAATGGGTATCCGAGTGGATGAGTTGTCAATGGAGAGACAGTTGAAAGAAAGTGGTTGTGAAGCACGTAAACAGCTTGAATATCATCAAAATGTTCTGAATGGTATATATCCATTAACGATAGGTGGTGGAATAGGACAGAGTCGATTGTGTATGTTCTTTATGGAGAAGAAACATATTGGTGAAGTCCAAGTTAGTATATGGCCTGAACACGTTCGTCGTGAATGTGAACAGAATAATATATTTCTCCTGTAAACTGAACGAAATCATTTTCTCTCAGCTTTATTGTTGAAAAGAATGTGAAGTGCATGAATATTAATTGTATGTATGTTTTCATAAAACATTTATGTTGTCCTTTCAATGTTTGTGTGATTTTGATTTTCTTGTGTTCTCGACTATGATAATGGCGAAATAGATACTGTTTCAGCTAATCGTTAAATGAATGAATAGAGTTTCCGCTTAATTTGATTGTGTGCAGAATACTTTTCAATTCTGAAGTTGATAAATTCGATGATCAGCTCTACAGTTCGATTTTTATTAGATGTAGATTTCTTCCTATTTCTCACTAACGATCGAACAAGCTTAAAACTCCAAAGCTAGCAGGTTTGGATCGAGATCATCCAACGAATGATGTTAGATCACCATGGAAAAACTTGTTTGACCTTTATTAGTTTTCATATAAAAATGCCTTGACAAGCATATATGTGACCAGATTGTTCGAAATGTATAGCGCAAATACATCACATTTTTTCAGATCAACTCCATCTCCTCATTGTTCTATCGAAATCAAACTTTTAGCCAATAAACCTTAAAGTCAGTACATCGATTTATCTGTGTGTAGGTCTGGTCATGCAACTGTCATTAGGTTTGAAAATATTATTCTGTTATCTACTGTACTGACCAATTATTTTGTTTTAAAATATATGATTGTCACTAAATATAAGTAAAGAAACAGTTTTTTTTTGTTTAAACTACTAGTTCCGTAAGGAGATGTGAACATGGAATAACCAAGATGACCCAATAGAAAGATTATTATACTAGATTACGTAACAAAAATAATAACAATCGACTTAATAAGTTAGTAACGAGTTAGAACTTGAATGTAGTAGGATGATTCAAATAATTTTGTTACAATAATTAAAGGTCATGGTCTTGTAAAAAGTCAATAAAGTGATATCATGAGCAATTATGAATAAACTAATGAGGATTTAAGACACACGTAAGGGGAGAAATGCAATAATAATAATAATAATAATAATAATAATAACAAAGGTCAAGGTAATGATAACAATAGGACGTACTATTTTGTATGTATAGTTATGGCTTGAGCTCATGGACGATAAGAGCTTCGGCTATTTTTAGGAGCTGGAACGAAGAAATCTAGGTAGGTTTGGACGGATCGTATAAATAAACTTAAAATCACACTGTGGATCAGTAGAATGAATGATTAAAGTCGATCAGATGTCCAAGTATGGAACTGCTAACTGTATTCCCCTCAACCTTGTAGAACCACACTGTGACATGTTCATGTATCGGAGTTGAAGGCGAGCGCTTGCTACAGCCAACGTGCCTTGCTCCATAAAAGCAGGTGAACTGGTAGATGCACATGGTGGCAACCGGACAGGGAAGCTTATCATTTATGGATACAGAAAACAATTCCCTACTAGTGAACGTTATTCGGAGTTTTGCCGCATAGAATGTTCTTTTTATCACTGTCGCTAAAAATAATTTTTGACTACACCAGATGTTCGATCACCTTTAAATTACAAACGTATATAAAGGTTTTTGTTTGGAAAGGAACAACCGGATTATTTGTCACAACTATTTCTTTTCATATTCTTATCTATGAAGCGGTCTGGACAGCCATTTTTCATCATTACCTTAGTATTCGTCATGGACATAGACGCTCCGAAACTCCTCTAAGAAGTAGTTCACGAAAACCATCTGTCTCTAGATCACAAAAGACAGATAACCCTGTCTTGTGCCGATATCATATTCAGCACGGAAAATCTCGAAATTGTAGAAAACCATTCGTTTTCCCGAGCCCTGAAACGACGGACACGAAAAACGCTTTGGTAAACTGTCCAGTCGGCACGCGTTAATGGCGACCGTAGTCGGCGAACATAACCGTCTGTTATACATCATTGATATGATTACGAAAGTTCGCTACCTCGTAGGCGTTGGCGCAGAATTTAGCGTCCTTCCAGCAAATTTTACCTACCGACAGCACAACTTACATGCGGCAAATGGGAGACTGATCACCGCATGTGGTAAGTGATATGTTTGTCTTAAAGTGGATTTACGCAAACCCATCCACTGGATCATCGTTGCTGCAGATGTTTCTATGTCAATCATTGGTGTAGACCCGCTACAACATCATAATCTACTTATCAACACGCGCAAACGGAGGTTAATGGATTGTAGATTATCCTCAGTTGCAGTAAGGTACACGATCGATTCATACTACCCATAACTATACCAAACGCGAATGAAATTGCCACGTGTAACCAACAATGTTACAAATCATATCACGACTACAGGACTACCCGTATTCTCCAAAGCACGCCAACTAGACCCCGAAAAACAGAGGTTGGCTTAAAACGAATTCGATCATATGATAGACTTGGGAACATTTCGGCCATCAAACAGCACATGAGCATCTCCCTTGCACATCGTACCTAAAAAGAACAGCAATGACTGGCGTCCAACTAGTGACTATCGGCGATTGAATTCGAAAACCATTCTTGGTCACTACCCGTTTCATCACATTCACGATTTGACAGCTACCTTGAAAGGTACAACTGTTTTTGCGAAAATCAGCTTGTTTAAAGCATATAACCAAACCCCCATGACTGTTGTCGACATTCCTAAAACCACTGTCATCACACCTTTCGGTCTCTTCGAATTTTTGCGCATGCCTTTCCGCTTAATAAATGCTACACGAAATTTTCAGATATTCATCGATGACGTTTTTCGAGGTCTCAACTTCGTATATGCGTATGTTAATGACTGCTCAATCGCAAATCCGAACAGAGAATATCATCTCCAGCATCTGGATCTTATCTTCGATTAACTACAAAAGCACGGCATTACTATAAACATTCAGAGATGTCAAATTGGCACCGACTCTCTAGATATTCTCGGATATAACATTCATGCTCAAGGTATTCGACCTCTGAAAAGCGAAGTGGCGGCCATTCCGGATTACCCAGAACCGACCATAATCAAGCAGTTACGCACATTTAACCGCCTGGTAAGTTTCTATCGATGGCTTATACCGAATTGCGCGCCTCTGATGATACCTTTAACCGACCAACTTCGTGGAAACGATGAGTCCATCAATTTTGACGACTTTGTGATAAAAGAATTCTTCACAGTTAAGGAAATTATCGCCAAAGAAACATTTCTCGCATACTAGGACACCAAAGCACCCATTAGTATCTCAGCAGACGCATCCGACTCTGCAATCGGAGGAGTCTTACAACAATGGGTAAATCAAACCTGACAACCTTTGACATTTTTCTCGAGAAGGTTGCTAGACACCAAATCGAGATATAACACTTTCGGTAGGCAACTGCTAGCCATGTATTGTACCGTGCGCCACTTCCAACATTCCATGGAAGGCCGAGAATTCACTTTATTCACCGATCACAAACCTCTGATCTTCCCTTTAAGTTCATCTTAAGACAAGTATTCCCCTTGAGAGTCTCGACAACTGGACTACATTTAGCAGTTTACTTCAGGTATACAACCCATTTCTGGGGCAAAAATGCAGTTGCAGACGCCTTATCTCGTATAACTTCCTTGGACAGTTTCCAAGAAATCAACCTTTTTACTCTCTCCAATCTTAAAAAAGAAGACATTGATCTTAACCACGAGTTATCTTCGACAACCATGAAACAGTGTATTAAACAGACGGGAACAGGTGAAAAACGTTGCTGTGACACATTCACAGGTAGAGATCGTTCAATAGTGACGAAAAATTACGGACGCAGTGTCTTTAATACGTTGCACAAGTTTTCTCATTCAGGTGTTCAGGCAACCACCAAGCCCACTGCAGAACGATTTTGCTCACCTGATATAAATAAAGACGTGAAGGAGTGAACAAGTTCCTGTGTAAGCTGACAGAAATCTAAGGTGATTAGAAACATCAAATGTCCCTTAGGTTCATCCATAACTCCCGACACTCATTTCGACCATGTTCATCTGGATTTGGTAGGACCCTTTCCAGATGCAAATGGATATTTTTATCTCTTAACTTGTGTAGACCGTTTCACTCGATGACCAGAAGCAGTACCCATCAAGGTCATTATTGCTGAAGTAGTGGACTACGCCTTCGTCGAACGGTGGGCAGCAAACTTCAGCTGTCCTTCAACTATCACTAGAGACCTTGGACGCCAGTTTGAATCCGGACTTCTCAGTTTTCTGAATACACTATTAGGAATTACGCGATTCCGAACGACCGCCTACCACCCACAAGCAAACAGGTTGATAGAACGATTTCACCAACAGCTTAAGATTCACTCTCAGCTGCAAACGCTTCACGATGGACCGAATCTCTTCCACTCGTTCTGTTCGGTATCAGCAATGCAGTGAAAGCTGACATTGGATACACGGCAGATCAATTCGTTTACAGAACGATATTCCGACTTCTTGGATAATTTGTGGATCCTTCATCTTCATCAATGAATATGGATCCAAACTCCTACACGAGTGGGCTTACAGACGCAATGCGTTCAGTTAAACCTGTTTATACTCGACTGCAATCAACTGTTTTCGTTCGACCTGCCCAACGATGTAGTACACACGTCTTTGCACGTCGTGACTCACGTCAACGATCTCTAGAAACGACGTACGTAGGACCCTTCAAAGTTCTTCGGCATGAACGTAAGTACTATATCACCAATAAGAACGGAACTAACGATAGAATCAACATCGACCGCCTCAAAGCCGCGTATTTATAGGCACTTTTCCTTCAATACAATCGAACGACGCGAGTTTCACAATTACAATACCTCACCCGATAATCAATAATCACGACAACACTTCGGTGGTATCTGAAAAACGACTTAGAACAACGCGTTCTGGGAGAAGAGTAGGGTGTCCAGACCTTTTAAACGATTACTGCACATAAGACACCTCATAACATTTTGTTTCGTCTCTTTATTTGTATTACTGTGTCAAAAAACTACTTTTACTAAGCATATATATTTATTTCTTTATCCCATAAAAACAAAGAATATTTTTGTTGCTAACATGTTTGCTTATATGTTTTTTTTCTCAGAAAACAACCAAAACGTCAGTTTGCGAAAATCCTTTTCACGCTATTGCGTGTTTATGAAATGCATGTATATAAGTTTATATTCCTTTATTTCGCCAGTTTTGTGTCTACGCACGTAGAAGTATAATTCGGCAGACACTTATATATCCTTCTTTTCTTCTCCAGGATGGTAGGAAAAAATGAGAAAAACGACAAAATTTACGATGAATCGAAATTTTCATTGTACCTGTTTTTCATTACAATATTGTACCACATCGCCCCAATATAGTAAGGAAAAACGACCCGATGCTGCTGAACATAATAAGCTATCAGAAGAGTCTTTACCAACGACAAACTTGTTGAGCTTAAACTTCTGGCTGGTCACGTCTCAGGGCCAAATTCCGAATACTCGTGGCATCTTTACGTCACTCTGATGGTGAGAAAACTGGATTGTATACACACAAATCATTCAAACTACCTCATCTCATCTTTAATTTTATTCAATATCAAACTTTTAGCCAATAAACCTTAAAATCAGTACATCGATTTATCTGTGTGTAGGTCTGGTCATGCAACTGTCATTAGGTCTGAAAATATTATTCTGTTATCCACTGTACTGACCAATCATTATTAAGCTGATGAAATTTTGTTTTAAAATATATGGTTGTCACTGAATATAAGTAAAAAAACAATGCACTTGGGGTCAGACAATTATTTTTGATAAAGTAAGTTACTGCTGTATTAATTTCCCATTTTACTTATTTCGGATACTTTTCGTGTTTGAATATTCCAAATTTAAATTCCCAGTGTCTTTATATAAATCACTTGTGAAGAAGAGTTAGCGATGAATAGAAGTTAGTTGAATAAAATAATATTTTAATTGTGATTATACTATAATTAGCATATAATTCACTACATGTATTGTATCATTTTGTTTATTTTGTGGCCTTAATAAGAATAAACAGTGAGAAATGTTTAGTGAACTTGTGGAGGACACTAAGGTTGTTTTCATATTATTTCGGGTAACTTCTCTGACAAACGGTTTTTACATAGTCGGTTACTGAAAACAGTAAGCCTAATTTGCTAGGGGTGATGACCTGCATTCTATGATCTTTTAAATTGATTTTATGTACAATTGCAAGTCGAGGCCAGTGGTGGTGAGGGATTCACACCTCATTTATCAGAATAATTTCAGTCAGTGGTACCGTATAATCAATCCAACCAGTCTCCCTCTACTATCTAAATCCATTTGCCTTGTCTAGACAGTGAACAATTTACTGATTGAATAGCGCATATGTATTAACGTATGAGATTATTGTTAAATAATGCGTTAATTTGTAGTATCCTTCTACTCTGTACATGTATACATGTATAGCATATTTCAGTCCAGTAAGATCTTATTTCTCTTTTGAATTTTCGACGACATCATGATTTGAATTATAATGTTTTTACTGGGATTTACATTTTAGTTGATCACCTAACCGCTGCTTTCACAGCTAATCACTGTAATGTCAAAGTATCAGTCAAAACTGGATGTTGAGAAAACACAAGAAGCAATCAAGTTTATTAGGAATTGTTTCCAGAAACAATTGTCAGTAAAACTAAACTTGTTACGTGTATCAGCCCCACTATTTGTACCGGCCAACAGTGGATTACAAGATGATTTATCCGGTGTGGAACGTGCAATTAAGTTCGATGTTAAATCTGGTGAGATAGCATTGATTAATCAATCACTGGCCAAATGGAAACGTATGGCATTACACAAATATAAACTAAATCAATATGATGGAATTTACACAGACATGAATGCGATTAGACGTGATGAAGTTATCTCTCCCCTGCACTCATATTATGTAGACCAATGGGATTGGGAGATCATTATTCAAAGAGATGAACGAAATGACGGAAAATTGGAGGAAGTAGTTGAGAAGATATATGACTCTATGAAAGTAACTGAGAACATTTTGATATCGGCATACCCAGTGTTAAATCGCAAGTTACCGGAAAATATTAAATTCATTACAACGCAAGAATTAGAAGATATCTACCCCGACAAAAAACCGGCAGAACGTGAATATCTTGCAGTTAAACAGTATGGTGCTGTTTTTCTCAAACAGATCGGAAAGCTTCTGAAATCCAATACGATACACGACAATCGAGCCCCAGACTATGATGACTGGGAATTGAATGGAGATATACTAGTTTATAGTGAACACGACGATAGATGTATAGAATTGTCATCAATGGGTATCCGAGTGGATGAGTTGTCAATGGAGAGACAGTTGAAAGAAAGTGGTTGTGAAGCACGTAAACAGCTTGAATATCATCAAAATGTTCTGAATGGTATATATCCATTAACGATAGGTGGTGGAATAGGACAGAGTCGATTGTGTATGTTCTTTATGGAGAAGAAACATATTGGTGAAGTCCAAGTTAGTATATGGCCTGAACACGTTCGTCGTGAATGTGAACAGAATAATATATTTCTCCTGTAAACTGAACGAAATCATTTTCTCTCAGCTTTATTGTTGAAAAGAATGTGAAGTGCATGAATATTAATTGTATGTATGTTTTCATAAAACATTTATGTTGTCCTTTCAATGTTTGTGTGATTTTGATTTTCTTGTGTTCTCGACTATGATAATGGCGAAATAGATACTGTTTCAGCTAATCGTTAAATGAATGAATAGAGTTTCCACGTAATTTGATTGTGTGAGTGAGTTATTGTCTATATATCACTACTACACTAAGTTCACTTGCCCATAACACTACATGTGTTGAGTGGATGCTTTGAATTGTGGTGTTTTTATATTGAGTGATAACAAATAGAAACAGTAGATTCAGAATTTTCTATCGACTCATCTTCACAATGAAGCGTTGCAACTGGCATAAGTAACTGCTACGTCTATTTTACAAACAAACTAATAGGTTCCAATGTATAGTCGCACTACGAATATCATAACTGAGTCGAGATCCATGTTCATCTAGCTGAGGAGTCTCGACTAGACTGATGAATAACAATGGTGTTCCTTATCGAATATTATCAGGGTGTAACTAAGTCGTATCGAAGCATGTATATTAGAAGCCCATGTGTTGAAAGTGATCAATCGTTTCTATCCTAAAAATTCACAACACCATAAAATCGTAACCGAACGTTTAAGGCGGCATCGACTAGGAACACATTGTGTATTAATTAGATGGGTTGCTTAATTTTCTCATAAGTGAATCAAAATAGATCGAGAAAATTATTTGGCATTCTGGATCTATGATTTTGCAAATTATTTTAATATCACTGAATTGATGTGATGTGCAAAGTGAACTTAATTTTGGTTATAGGATCCACTCAGACCATACGGCTATACGATTTGGAGAAAACCAAAAACTATTCATAGTATATTTTGCTTTGTAGTGGTAAATAAATTCGCAAAAACAATTGCTCTGTAAGTGTTCGACATATGATGCTGAGCGCATACGTTTTACTGTACTCATCTAGCTGTATGTCCTCGGTCATGCATCCGCACCAGATCACGAGTGGGTACGCAGTGCTACACATCTAAAACAACTAGCCAACTCAGATATATTGCTTCTCAATATATATTTATATCCTCGAACATCTTCACTTCTGATTTGACTGGGATGGTATATTTAGATTATAAGAGGTGTTACTGGTTGAAGCGTTGTCAAACTCCGAATACTCGTGGCATCTTTACGTCACTCGGATGACGAGAAAACTGGATTATGTTATGACCTTGGATGTCTGGTTTTTCTATCACGCGATTTACCTACCAATCCGAATACGACTTATACGAATCTTCACACTAGGCCAACTAATGACGTTCAACCGGTGTGGGCAGTTTAGCGTCCTTATTGGTCCTATGTCCTCCGAGCCCTTCCACTTGAGTCCAGAACAAGATACCAGCTTCCGAATCAGAGCAGATCGTTTATTTCAGGCATACTTGGTTTATATATCAATCACACAGACCGCAACATACCATAAAATAGGAAATAATATTTGTACACAAATAAGCCCAAAAAGTGGCTGTGAATGTGGGAGGCAGTAGTTAATAAACTGAACATAACTTAAGAACCGTAAATCGTACAATAATAAGTTATAGGTCAAAATAAAGCTTATCATAAAAGGAACATAAATATACATAGTGTAATTGTTGAGTAGTTATACAATAAGAATATTAGTCCATGAATAGTCCTCGGGAGTTACCTGTGATTTAATCTCCACTCGGATATAACAGATTATATACACACAATTCATTCAAGCTACCTCTCACTTCCTCATCTTTCATTTTATTCAATATCAAACTTTTAAAGCAATTAGTCCCTTTTATAAATTTCGATAGAACAATGAGAAGACGGAGTTGATCTGAAAAATGTGATGTATTTGCGCTATACATTTCGAACAATCTGGTCACACATATACTTGTTTGACCTTTATTAGTTTTCATATAAAAATGCCTTGACAAGCATATATGTGACCAGATTGTTCGAAATGTATAGCGCAAATACATCACATTTTTTCAGATCAACTCCATCTCCTCATTGTTCTATCGAAATCAAACTTTTAGCCAATAAACCTTAAAGTCAGTACATCGATTTATCTGTGTGTAGGTCTGGTCATGCAACTGTCATTAGGTTTGAAAATATTATTCTGTTATCTACTGTACTGACCAATTATTTTGTTTTAAAATATATGATTGTCACTAAATATAAGTAAAGAAACAGTTTTTTTTTGTTTAAACTACTAGTTCCGTAAGGAGATGTGAACATGGAATAACCAAGATGACGCAATAGAAAGATTATAATACTAGATTACGTAACAAAAATAATAACAATCGACTTAATAAGTTAGTAACGAGTAAGAACTTGAATGTAGTAGGATGATTCAAATAATTTTGTTACAATAATTAAAGGTCATGGTCGTGTAAAAAGTCAATAAAGTGATATCATGAGCAATTATGAATAAACTAATGAGGATTTAAGACACACGTAAGGGGAGAAATGCAATAATAATAATAAAGGTCAAGGTAATGATAACAATAGGACGTACTATTTTGTATGTATAGTTATGGCTTGAGCTCATGGGTGGTAAGAGCTTCCATAATCCCTTGTTATAGTTTGGTAAAATGTGATCATTATTATCAGAATGAATTTTGTGGAGATTTTTCCATGGTAGTCTAGCTTCAAATGGCTCATGATTTAAACTTGTTAAAATGTGATCAGTCGAACCGAAGCACTACACACTTTGCAACTTTCTCGTCTAACTGTCATTAGCATGAATATGGAGTTTAGTTGAATCGAGGAAACCTGGATGTCTACAAATGTTAGTGAGAATACTACCAACACATTGGTACAACGGAGAGAATGAGAAATATAATCGCTTTCCATCTTGCGATTCCACACACTATATCGTCACTTAGTAGTAATCAGCTAGTCACAAACGGCAGACCGAATTAGTCAGATTCTGTCAATCTCCACTGGAAGCCTGTCTCCATCCACCACAGCTCGGAATCCACCATAGAAAATATTGGGAATAGTGTCAACCACTACAACACCTGAGTACAATGGACGGTGATCGCGCAATTTCATGGATTTTTTGAGGTTAGACATTAACAGCGTTGGAGGTTTCTCGTTTACCTGCGAGACCCATGACTCTGGGTTGGAATCGCGCGAGGGGGGTCATGTATGCGTACTGCAGAAGAGTCCTACAATAGAACGAAACGCCCGTTCAGTTCTTCTAGGTTTTCCATGGTGATCTAACATCATTCGTTGGATGATCTCGATCCAAACCTGCTAGCTTTGGAGTTTTAAGCTTGTTCGATCGTTAGTGAGAAATAGGAAGAAATCTACATCTAATAAAAATCGAACTGTAGAGCTGATCATCGAATTTATCAACTTCAGAATTGAAAAGTATTCTGCACACAATCAAATTAAGCGGAAACTCTATTCATTCATTTAACGATTAGCTGAAACAGTATCTATTTCGCCATTATCATAGTCGAGAACACAAGAAAATCAAAATCACACAAACATTGAAAGGACAACATAAATGTTTTATGAAAACATACATACAATTAATATTCATGCACTTCACATTCTTTTCAACAATAAAGCTGAGAGAAAATGATTTCGTTCAGTTTACAGGAGAAATATATTATTCTGTTCACATTCACGACGAACGTGTTCAGGCCATATACTAACTTGGACTTCACCAATATGTTTCTTCTCCATAAAGAACATACACAATCGACTCTGTCCTATTCCACCACCTATCGTTAATGGATATATACCATTCAGAACATTTTGATGATATTCAAGCTGTTTACGTGCTTCACAACCACTTTCTTTCAACTGTCTCTCCATTGACAACTCATCCACTCGGATACCCATTGATGACAATTCTATACATCTATCGTCGTGTTCACTATAAACTAGTATATCTCCATTCAATTCCCAGTCATCATAGTCTGGGGCTCGATTGTCGTGTATCGTATTGGATTTCAGAAGCTTTCCGATCTGTTTGAGAAAAACAGCACCATACTGTTTAACTGCAAGATATTCACGTTCTGCCGGTTTTTTGTCGGGGTAGATATCTTCTAATTCTTGCGTTGTAATGAATTTAATATTTTCCGGTAACTTGCGATTTAACACTGGGTATGCCGATATCAAAATGTTCTCAGTTACTTTCATAGAGTCATATATCTTCTCAACTACTTCCTCCAATTTTCCGTCATTTCGTTCATCTCTTTGAATAATGATCTCCCAATCCCATTGGTCTACATAATATGAGTGCAGTAGTGAGACATCTTGAATTTTCTCATTGGTCAGTTAGTTTGTGCTAGATACGTATTTGGATCGTACGAGAATGTGGTTATGTGGGTCGTATCCGATTTTTTCAAATCTTGAGTGTAGTACTGTATATCTTTATGGAATTACTGATATGCATGAACAAATCAGTTGTATTCGTCTTATCAAGATGACTGATGATCTAGATCAAGCTTCGTGACGAATCCATATTCACATGAGAAATTAACTCAGAATAGTTGAGCTACTTGTACCATTTAAGTAGTTAAAAATATGATTTTTATTGCAACTAGACTATTTGTTTTCGGTACAATGCATTCCAGATCACTTCTAATCTGTCTGATCAAAATGTTAATGGATTTATTCCTGTAAATTTCAGTAAATTATCTTTCTATCTAAAATTTTCGGTAAAATATTAAATCCATTGTACAAGAGAGAGCTCTGTAAAGCTAAGTTAATTGAAGTTTATTTAAACTTGTTTATCTGTGAAATATGAGATTCGTATCACACCAATAACCGATATTTGACCAGTAACAAGAAAAGTATTGTGTTGTAGAACGAAACGTGTGTTGAGTGCGAAGTCACAGTTAGATTTCAATCCAGTCGAATGTAACGCTGTGAATGATGGAGCATGGAATTCACTTCAAAATGGTAAATATCGATGATCAACTGAAGAAATATTAATCTCTGATTTAATACAAGCCAACAGACATGTTTTCTATTCTGGTGGCCTACTGACGTCGTCGGGAGGTATTCTATCTCCAAACAACTGGTTGATGAGTT